TATCTTAGACTTCTTTACCGCAATGATTCTTCCATCTGCGAACATTCCTTTGTAGACGGTACCTTGGCCTCCTTGGCCAAGAATTCTATCAATGTTGAAGTTGTCAGTGGACTTCTCCAACTCCTTTGATTTGAACAACTTGATTTTCTCAACATTGACTTCACCTGATGATAATTGTTGTTGTAATAATAAACCACCGTTTCGTTTGAAAAACTTTTCCTTGCGTTTAATGTTTTTCCTTTTTTTTATGACTTTGTATGCATACCATGCACCCACGAGTAGCAACAATAGTCCGGGACCCATGAAAACACCTGCATATATAATATATATACTTGGAATTATAATTGGATAAAACTATGCATACCGCATTTGTACCACTATGAGTTTGAGACTCACTTACAAATAGGTTCCACTTTACAATTATATCCCCCTTTTTTTCCCAACAAAAATAAACTTTTTCCATTCATTGTGAAATTAATTGCACAATAACCATTTATAATACAAACCTAAACAAAAAAAAACACTCTACACCACCTAAATTCAAATTTCTTCTCCTTCACCATCAAGGCCTTGAGATGGTAATTCTCCTTCTTTTTCTAGGTAGCTGGGGTTTATGTAACTACGTAGCTACCAAATAGGTTTGGGTGTTGAGGTAGCCTACCTATCAAAGGAGAATATGATTTGTGAGTTTTCTGCATATGTACGTATACTAATTATGTCTTCCTATTAATAGATGTCTTCCATCTCTTCCTGAAATTGCTTCATCATTTTTTCTTTGCCGGAAAAGCGGAACAACTGCAATGTCATCACATTCCTCCAGCCCTCATATGTCTATTTCAACAAATCCTTACTAACAATGGATTGCTAAAAGAACTCTAACATAAACCGCTTGGGAGAACTTTTGTGTGTATATAGAAGTCTGCATAGGAGAACTTTTGTGTATATATATATATATATATATATATAGGGTGAGGATCCAGAGACACACAAAAAGCCACAAATTTATACACACATTTTCAGCCTTTAGATTAAATCAGTTTTAATGGCTAAGATTGCATTTGAAAAAAAGGCCAATATATAATCTCAACTATATGATTAATTTTCCTTGGAAGAATATATATGGTTTTTTGCTAAGATTATTTGAGGTTTGCTAACATATATGTGAGGTTAAAAACTTGTGTCAATAGGTTTTTTGGTGCCACATAGATCCACCCCATATATATATATTTGGTGTATATGAGTTACGTATGATTTTTTATTCTAACCATAAGTGTTTAAAAGTCAAATTCAAAATTTAAGAGTAGCAATATTAATGATTTTTTATTCTAGCCATAAGTGTTTAAAAGTATGTACTTTTAATTTGTTTTCATTAAGGCTTATTATCACAAAAGGTCCCTAAGGTTTACGAAATTATCAAATTGCTCTTAATGTTTTTTTGTGTCATTTGTGGTCCTCAAGGTTAGTATGTGTGATCACAAATTGTCCTTGTCGTTAGGTTCCGTCAAAAACTCCGTTAGTTTGCTGACGTAGCATATATACATCTCTGAGGTTTACACATTTATCACAAATGGTCCCTGTGAAATTTTTTAATTTTTTAATTTAAAATTCATAAAATTTTGGTTTTCTTTTTTATATTGTTTAAAAATATATATTGTATTTTAAATACATATGACACTATATTTTTGAAGATGTGGACTCCACATATATGCCACACCAACAAACTAATGAAGTTTTTTAAAAATAATTTAAAATTCATAAAATTTAAAAATGAAAAAAACATTTATATAAGGATTTTAACCTTGAGGACTATTTATAAACCCTAAACCCTTGGTTTTTTTCATTTTTAAATTATATGAATTTTAAATTATTTTTTAAAAACTCAATTAGTTTGTTGATGTGGCATATATGTGGAGCCTATATCTAAAATACAATATATATTTTAAAATAATTTAAAATTCATAATATTTAAAAAGGAAAACCAAAATTGTATGAATTTTAAATTAAAAAAATTAAAAAAATTTGCAGGGACCATTTGTGATAGGTGTAAACCTCATGGATGTTTTGTGATATATATATGCCACATCAGCAAACTAACGGAGTTTTTGATAGAACATAATGACAAGGACCATTTGTGGTCACACATACTAACAATGAGGACTATCAATGACACCAAAAAAAAAACATTAAGGATGCAATCTAATAGTTTCGTAAACCTTATGGACCTTTTGTGATAATAAGCCTTTCATTAATATTATTTATCTTCAACGCCAAAATAGGCATAGAGCATAAATGCAAATTGAGCCTAGATTCATTAAGTATATAGTACAAGGGTTTTTCCCAACATTTTTAGCATGGAATTGGTCTATATTAATAATAATGAACTCTAAACAGTATAAGAGCATACCTAAAAGAACAGTTCTGATTCGATAGGCCTGAGAGAGCAGAGGCGGCTTTGGCTTGTAGTAGCAACTCGAACCACCTCCACCACCAAAGTCACATGTAGCTCTGGTTACATTTGAGTAGCATGTATAACCACCGGCGAAATTCTCACATATAGGACTGCCACTGAAATTCCATGAAGCTACCACATCAGGATCGATACACCGATTAAGCTTGCATTCATCAATATCTGAAATATAATAACAGAAAGACAAATGAACATGATGATGAATGGTGAAGTTGGCTCATTCCAGAACGAAGCTTTGGATAACGGAATGGAAGGGTTTTAATTAATTACGTACGTACCTTGACAAGGTTGGAGAAGATAAGGATTTCCTTGAAAGCCCCTCGGACAGAAGCAATGAACGCTTGACCGATTATATATTTTGCAATAGGGTGTTGAGTCGTTATTAGCTTTATTTGCATAATACGGACGTACTTTTCTTCCGATAAATCCTTCAAATTCTTTGTGTGAAGTGTTGTCTAAGCTGATGTTCCATTCCAGCACCACGGGAACTCTGTCCATTCCTCGGATAGCTCTGTAGCTTGATAAATTGTTCAAAAACCAATCTTGGTCAACAAGAAAAGCGTAGTTGCAACCATCAATTTGATCTCTTGGCAGTATCTCAGTAGTGAAAACGCTGATATTTGGAGGAATGGTAGTCTGGCAACAGTTAGTTCCAATGGTACCGCAGCGATAAGTAGCACTATCTGTACTCTGATCGTCACAAGTTGAATTGCATCCAAGAAAAAAATTCACATTTGATCTCATGGTAGCAAGACGGCCACAGCTGACTGCAGTGAACATGTTTTTTCTGTCCAAGTACACAAAAGGGCTTCCCGTCAAATTTGGGGCTTGGCGAGTTTCCTTTCCCTTGCAAGCGCCGAAGAAAGTAACAGGGCTTTTAACCTGAAGGGTGCCGTCAATAGAAATGTTGAGCACCTCCATTTGGGCGCGCCTCAAGAAAGGCTTGTGCCCAGTAGACTCGTTGCAGTCTATCTGAAACCATTCATTAAAGTAACAATCTTTGTTTGGTCCAACGCCGAAAGGGTAAGGGATGCTGACATTAATTCCGCAGTGCGTCGTGCAATTAAGCTTTGCTATAGGCGGAGCTAATTCTGATGATGACGCTGGTTTGGTTTCGGTAACTATGCTGCACCAAAACAACAAAACGAACATGATCACGTGATGATGAACTAGCAATTGCATTGACATTATTAATTCCTCTGCCTCCTCTTTCTCTCTATATATGATATCTGACCTTAGTTGGTTACATGGAGCGTTTCT